AAAGGATTAAACTATTTGTACACAAAGATTTACACAATCTTTTACACACACAACACGTGGTGGCCCCCTATTGGAGGGGTGAATGGTGGGCCAGCCGCCCCCCCAATAGAGAGCCACCACGTGTTGTGTGTGTAAAAGATTGTGTAAATCTTTGTGTACAAATAGTTTAATTCTTTAAAAAATAGTTTTTGTAAAGTTTGTACAACTAGATTAATTCAACAAAGGGTGTATATGTCAAGATGGCCTAGTGAGGAAATATTATGGAAATCCAATTGGCATAGACATTAAAAATAAAAAATTAAATTAAATGATACTCATTTCAAAAATAAATTATTTTGCCCTGTATCTGACTTGACCTGAAAACGGCTTCATTAAAATTTTAAATTGGTCCACCACGTTATACAACTCAACATGTCTTGATTTATCCTTCTCGTGAATATAATGCAACTAAATTCAAATATAAAGGCCTCTCCATTTTTAAATTTTTTTTATTTTTTTTTTCCCATTTTAATCCGATCTCGCTAATTTTGTTAGTATACCAAAAAAGGTGTAAATTTGTGGTACTTTCAACAAGATTTTGGCATTATATCTGAGCATAAACTAGAAATTTGTGAAACTAGTATAAATTTAAATTAATATTTTCAGCCATATTATTCATATATTAATTCACATATTTATATGAGTAGATACACAATATTTTTTGGGTCGAGGCGTTTAAGAGGCTATAAATCACATCAATAATGTAATATACAACCAACTCACATGTTCATAAATATGTTGGTCCCTTCAATATAATGACAATTTAAAAGTGAAAAAAACCAAAGCTTAGAAGACGTCCATGAGGAATATTATCCACATTTTTCCAAAAAGAATAGACTTCCCAAATTTAAGGCCAAAGACCTTTTATTTCTCTAAAATTTGCATAATTTCGAAGCATATGATATTAGACCGATGTTTATTTATTAGTCAAATCAAGAAATATTCGAATGTCATTATCTAGCTAAAAAGACGTTTCCTCGTCAACATAATAATCAAATCTTAATTAAGTCATCTTAATCCTTTATTGAGAGAGACCAATTAAATCATTAAACGGTTAATTTAATGTTTAATCCCATTTCTTAACCATCAATCCTTTCGAAAGAAAGAAAAGCAATAAATTAATAAATAGTAAATGCAATTTTCCACCAAAGTATTCATGCAAAGCATACTCAATTAGTTGGAGATCTGAAAGCACATGCACATTTCTGTACTTCTCATGAACTTTAGTTCATAATTCAACACATTAACTATGTTTGGTGCAACCACACAAGAAAAAAACTAATAATAATTTCAATCCCATCAATTGCATTTACTCACATTCAGTTATATTTCCAATTTAAATAAATAAATGCTTCAATACCATTAATTGATTTTATAAAAAAGAATTTCATTTGTCAAAGTCACTAATAAAATTAATTAACACGTCAAGCAACAAACAACACAAGCTCATAGACCACCTTATTACAATCTCCGAGAATAAAGTGACAAGAACAAAGCCTAACATCTTGCAAGAAAGCTACTACATCGAAAAAATATTAATAATAATAATAATAATTTGAGGCCAGACTCTGAATGGCCCAAGAGAATCACATTGTGCAGTATTAACTAGTAAACCAAGTTTTTTGGCCATGGAAAGTCCCACGCCAAGAACCACAACCTTGGCCTCTTCAATTGAGTAATACAACTTTTATAACAGAAATAACATTAATTTGTATGATGAAACTTGAAGATAAAAGTATTTATTTCATTTTTATCTTTGACACAAAATAAATAATGTTTATGTGCATTCAAAATTAATGGTGCCGACTCTCATTAACTAGCATGGAATTATAGTTTTCAGAAATTACGAAATTTAGTTGTTTCACGTGACGATGATATAAATGTATTTATCTTTTCTGCTTCCCAACCGTGTAGATTGCAATAACACAATAATTGTAAAGTAAAACACAATGTTGTCAACCCCGTGAGACTTTCGTAACTCGTGCTATGAAGCTGGCAGAGTGCATGTGACAGGTCTCTGATAAAAAAATGAATCTGAAAATTGTTTGCACGTACGAGTCTGATTTGCACGTGAAAGGACGTCTTAAAATTTTTAGATGGAGTGATTCGAGAGTGATTTCGTAAGGCAAACATGGATTTCATAAAGGGAAGATAGATTTTATTGAGAGGTGAAAAACAGATTAGTAGATAGATGAAAGACGATTATACAGTTGCAACCTCATCATTTCAAAGATATAATGCCCTTTAAATACCCCATTTCTCTGCTAAGATTTTTTGTTTCATTTGAGGAGATTAGAAGTCAAGATCAATGGAACCTAACCTCATGTGATCACATTTAAGTTCATTGTCGGCATGATATCACAAAATTACTCCCTAAATCATTATATATAACAAACTTTTCTTACACTAAATACTCACCAAACAAGGGCTTGCCCTTCATTCTTGGGACATTTCTCTTCCCTCTACTGTCTTCCGGGCTCGGATTTAAAAGGTCCCAATGCAGGTTAATTCGCTTTGCCGAGGGGCCCTTCTGGGCTTCTTCGTTTCCTTGTTATTTGCAGCCAGCTTCTGCCATGGGGATGATAAGACCATAGAGGTTGTCGGGGAGGGAGAATGTGCTGACTGCAAGGAGAATAACATTAAAACTAGTGAGGCAGTTTCAGGTACTATACATTCTCTCTGTGTACTTCCATTTGTATGACTATCACCACTGACACTCAATCAATACAATATGATATTCTCCGGTAGTATATGTTGAGGTTGTCCCACATCGGTTATGAATGGGATCGGCATTCAGTTTATAAGTGTAAGGGAAAGCCTCTTCTTTTGAGTTAGCTTTTGGAGTGAGAGAGGCCAATATCACCCAACACAGATATCAGAGCCTGATTCATCAACAAGTCTCCGGCTCAACAATCACGGAGATATGGGCTTATGTGAGGGGGAGACGATCTTGGTCTCCCACAAGCCCTTTGTGTGAGGGGGAGATGGGTTTAGTCTCCTGCAGGGCCCGATGTATGGGAAAAGATGTGTTTGGTCTCCCGCAAAGTCCGATGTGTGAGAGGGAGTTTGTTGAAGTTGTCCACATCGTTAATGGATGGGATTGGTATTTAGTTCATGAGTCTTGAGCCAACTTTTGGGGTGAAAGAGACCCAATACCACCCAACAGTGTAGAATCTATCTTACCAACAAGTCAAAGTTTATTCTTGAGCCAACTTTAGTTCATGAGTTTTGAGCCAACTTTTGGGGTGAAAGAGACCCAATACCACCCAACAGTGTAGAATCTATCTTACCAACAAGTCAAAGTTTATTCTTGAGCCAACTTTAGTTCATGAGTTTTGAGCCAACTTTTGGGGTGAAAGAGACCCAATACCACCCAACAGTGTAGAATCCATCTTACCAACAAGTCAAAGTTTATTCTTGATAAACCAGTGTTTATACATAGAACCAACGTACTTGTAAAACACGATGTGGGTTTGCAATAACACTTCACCAACTTATTCACAAGCTTCAAAAACTAATGGGTTTTATCAAATATATGGACATGTTCATGCACAGCAGAATGTTTTTAGATATTGATTTTGCTCTTTAAGGATTGTCGTACGTGGTTGATGGAGGAAATTAAGATTTCTTTTGTTGCAAACTAGCTAAATTTAAGCATTCATTTTTTGCAGGGCTTAGGGTAACCATTGACTGCAAGCTTCAAAATGGAGAAATAAAAAGAGCGGGAGTTGGGGAGCTTGATAAAGAAGGGAGATTCAAGGTTTCGGTTCCTGAGGAGATTGTTGAAGATGGAAAACTAAAAGAGGAATGTTATGCACAGCTTCATAGTGCATCTGCAGCACCATGTCCAGCTCACAATGGCCTCGAGGACTCCAAGGTTGTCCTGAAGTCGAAAACCAATGGAAAACACACCTTTGGCCCCAATGGAAATCTCAAATTCTCCTCTGCATTGTGCACTTCTGCTTTTTTGTGGCCATTCTTTAAGTATCCACCTTTGCCCAAAATCCATCCGTGGAAGAAACACTTCCCTAAGGCTTACTTTCCACCACTGAAAAACTTCGGCCACCCTTGGCCTCTTCCTCCATTCCCACCAGTTCACACAAAACCACTTCCTCCTCCATTTCCCATTTACAAAAAGCCGCTTCCTCCGTTCCCACCAGTTTACACAAAACCACTTCCTCCCCCAGTTCCCATTTACAAAAAGCCGCTTCCTCCACCCGTCCCCATTTACAAACCAAAGCCACTTCCTCCCCCAGTTCCCATTTACAAAAAGCCGCTTCCTCCGCCCGTCCCCATTTACAATCTTCCTCCCCCAGTTCCCATTTACAAAAAGCCGCTTCCTCCAGTTCCCATTTACAAAAAGCCGCTTCCTCCATCCGTCCCCATCTACAAACCAAAGCCACTTCCTCCCCCAGTTCCCATTTACAAAAAGCCGCTTCCTCCACCCGTCCCCATTTACAAACCAAAGCCACTTCCTCCCCCAGTTCCCATTTACAAAAAGCCGCTTCCTCCGCCCGTCCCCATTTACAATCTTCCTCCCCCAATTCCCATTTACAAAAAGCCGATTCCTCCACCCGTCCCCATTTACAAACCAAAGCCACTTCCTCCCCCAGTTCCCATTTACAAAAAGCCGCTTCCTCCGCCCGTCCCCATTTACAATCTTCCTCCCCCAGTTCCCATTTACAAAAAGCCGCTTCCTCCACCCGTCCCCATCTACAAACCAAAGCCACTTCCTCCCCCAGTTCCCATTTACAAAAAGCCGCTTCCTCCACCCGTCCCCATCTACAAACCAAAGCCACTTCCTCCCCCAATTCCCATTTACAAAAAGCCGATTCCTCCACCCGTCCCCATTTACAAACCAAAGCCACTTCCTCCCCCAGTTCCCATTTACAAAAAGCCGCTTCCTCCACCCGTCCCCATTTACAAACCAAAGCCACTTCCTCCACCTGTCCCTATTTACAAGCCAAAGCCTCCAGTAAAGCCGCTTCCACCACCAGTTCCAATCTACAAACCAAAGCCAAAGCCACCAGTTTACAAACCTCCGGTAGTAAAGCCTCTTCCACCACCAGTTCCTATCTACAAACCAAAGCCAAAGCCACCGATTTACATACCTCCGATAATAAAGCCACTACCACCACCAGTTCCAACCTACAAGCCAAAGCCACCGGTTTACATACCCCCGGTAGTAAAGCCACTACCACCACCAGTTCCAATCTACAAGCCAAAGCCACCAATTTACATCCCTCCAATAGTAAAGCCACTTCCACCTCCAATTCCAATCTACAAGCCAAAGCCACCAATTTACATTCCTCCAATAGTAAAGCCACTTCCACCTCCAATTCCAATTTATAAACCACTCCCACCATTCTATAAGAAACCCTGCCCTCCACTCCCCAACCTTCCTCCTTTCCAACATCCTAAATTTGGATTCTTCCCTCCCTTCCCTCCTTTCATTCCTCAACCATAGAAGTTTGTTTCATATCGTTTACTTAAAAGGGTGAAAGCAATTAAAATTTCCAGTTATAAAATAAAATCCCCAGGTTCAAAGTGAAAAATATTGTCAAGAAAATAACGCTAGCAGCGTAGGAAGTGGAAATTCCCCCAGATTTAATTGTTGTGTGATTAGCATGAAGTTCTCCTGTATTGGTTTATTCAATAGGGTGGTGATAAGATCAAATATTTGTTAATAAAAAAAATTTCAAGATCATACGCATTCCACAAGTTTCGCACCATATATTTGCATGTGTTGATATTAAAATCACTTTCAATTATCCTATTGTTCAAGATTTCAAGTACAGTACTGTTCAAGATTGAATTTGAGATGATATGTTCAAACTTCATAATGCATGATATTGATAACTTCACCATGCAATGATGTCTCAAAAAACACGTAGAAGTACATTTTTGGAAAGCAAGCGAACTTTTTTTCCAAAAATCTGAAAACAAAACTAATTTCTAAAAAAGTTCAAACGTCTTTGGCTAACCGCAGTAAAAATCGAGATTAGGGTAAAAGGTACAAATACAACAAGCCTGCTTTTTTAGAAAATACAACAGATTTTTCTGAAAACATATTGAATGACGAATAATAACGTACCTGGTTTACAAGTAAAACAAAGAAGCCTCCTTTTCAATAAATGATATTTTACGCAAATAGCCTTCGTCCCTTCTATCTCTTTTCTGCAGAAGTATAGCAATAATCTGTGTATAATAAAAAGGATGAACTAAGAACTTGAAGTGGTATATTTTACAATATTGAATTATTGCTTTGATTTTTTTAACCAGTTTTACCAATTGATTATTCAGGAAATACAGTAATTTGAGCATGTTTGAATGCAATAATGATCAGTTTATTGAAGAAATTTGCTTACAAAGACTAGTCCACAATAATGTTTGGTAAAATAGCTTTTACTCAAATTTGTCATATATTAAAAGTATGAAATACCCTTCATTTAAATGTCTCAAATGCCCAATTTCAAACCAAAATTTAGTGCATGCTTGGTAGGGATTTTGATAATTGATTTTTTAACCGTTGGAGATAAAATGAATCCTGCCTATGAGAGAAGAATTAAAAAAATGACGATTAAAATAGTGAAATAACGGTCAAAAAATTGATTTTAATTGGCTTAAAATTTATACCAAACAAGCACTTATCAAATCCCCCAAACTTTTATTTTCATTTTTCATACCCCAATTTAAAACTGACGACAAAATGTCATACTGCATTTTTAAATAACTGAATGTCATTTTAACCAATTTCGTGTTTGTTTCACTTTATTTTCCCCCACATCCACATAAAAATTAATGAAAACAAGTTTTAACTATGTTTGGAATGAAATTGAGAATCCTTGCAATGAAATTGAGAATCCGTGACTAAAAACGATATAATGTCATTGTAAATGAATTGATGACGTTTTAACTAACCTAGTACCCAAATGAAATTAACGTAAACAAGTTTTCACTATATTTAGATTGAAATCGGTATCCATTAACCCAAAAAGGCATGCTACCGTTTTAAATGATTAGATTTCATTTCAACTAATTTTGTATTTGTTTCACTTTATTTTCATGCTTATCTACATAAAATGAACAAATGGGATATTTTGTTACATTTGGACACCAATATCAATGCAAAGTCCGTGCAATAATGACCAACATTATTGTTTAGTGAGTAAACTACAAGACTTAACTGCAAGTGAAGGTAAGTAACTCAAATTTGATTATATTCTAATTATAAGATAAACTATTTAACAAATCATCTTGTTTAACTTGTGTGAGTCTTTTAATAATTTTCAAGATATCATCGATTAATTTTGAAGTGAAATCGAGGCTTTGTAACCCAAAACAGCATGTTGTCATTTTAAACTACCAAGATATGATCGATCTTCTAAAATATTCTAAGATATGATCGACTAATTTTAGAAAGAAATTGAGATTCCGTAATTCAAAATGGCATGCTGTCATTTTAAATTATTAGGTACCGTTTCAACTACTTTTGTGTTCATTTCACTTTATTTTCACTCGCGTCCATATTTAGGTACCAAGATCGATAAAAATGTTCACTCTATAGTGATTAACAATATTGTTCTGTGAACAAACTACACTAGACTTGATACTCAAAAAATTAGCTTGTTTAACTTGTATAAGTCTTCTAAGATGTTCAAAATTATGATCCATTAGTTTTGGAGTGAAATCGAAATCCCATGATTGAAAACAACTAGATGTTGTTTCAACTATTTTTGTGTTTATTTTACTTTATATTTACTCGTATCTATATACAAATGAACGATTTCAAGTTTTTACTATATTTGGATACCAAGGTCGATATAAAGTTCACACAATAGCGATCAACATTATTGTTTCGTGAGTAAACTACATTACACTTCAGTACGAACAAAGGTAACTAACCCAAATTCTATTATATTCCAATTATGAGATAAGATACTCAAATAATTGACTCGTTTAACTTGTACGAGTCTTCTAAGATGTTTCAAAGTATGATTGACTAGTTTTGAAGTGACATCGAGACCACTAGACCTAAAACGGCGTGCTGCTATTTTAAAATGGTTAGGTGTCATTTCAATTAATTTTTTGTCTGTTTCACTTTATATGCACTCTTATCTACATGAAAATATAATTAATCAATTTTTTAAATACATTTGGAGACTAAGTCAATATGAAGTTTACATGATAGTTACCAACGCTATTTTTCAATGAGTAAACTACACTAACCTTCATTACAAACAAACGTAAGTAACTAAAATTCTATTATATTTCAATTATGAGATAATATACTCAACAAGTTAGCTCGTTTAACTTATATATGTTTCAAAATATGATCGACTAATTTTGGAATAAAATAGAGACCTCGTGACCTGAAATGACATGTTGTCGTTTTAAATGGCTAGATGTTGTTTCAACTAATTCATGCCAGTTTAACTTTATGTGCACTAGTATTCACATAAAAATAAATGAATGCAAATCTTCACTATATTTAAACACAATAGTCGATATAAAGTTCACGTGATAATTATCAATACTATTTTTTTGTCAGTAAAGTACACTGGACTTCATTACAAACAAAGTTAAGTAACTCAAATTTCATTATATTCCAAGATAAGATAACCAATAAAATAGCTTGTTTAATTGTACAAACCTCAAAAGATGTTCCAAAATATGATTGACAAGTTTTGGAGTGAAACTAATTCCCGATAATAAAAAAAGGCAGGTTGTTGTTTTAAATGGTTAGATATCATTTCAATTAATTTCATGTCCATTTACTTTATTTGCACAGGTATCCACATGACAATGAATGTATTCAATTTTTCATTAAATTTGGACACCATGGTGAATTATAGTTCACGCATTAGTTTTAAATGTGAAATCTAGATCCTGTGACCCAAAATGATATGTAGTGATTTCTACTAATTACATGTTCATTTAGTTTCATTTTCACTCTTTAACACTTGAAAATGTAAGGACGAGAATTTGGACTACATTTTAATGTCACAATCCACACAAAGTTCAAAGGATAATGAGTAACACTATACATTCGTTTGGAAACTACACCACACTTGATAATGAAGAAAAAACAAAGATAATGAGTAGGGGATAAAAAAATGTAATACATCTATTCATTCAAGAGCACAAGTCTTCTATCATGTTCCAAACATTCATTTATTAGTTCTGGAATGAAATTGAAACCTCGTGACCCAAAAAAACATATAGTAATTTGAAACATATGGGTGTAGTTTCTACTTATTTTGAGTTCATTTTGCTTCATTTTCGCTCATGTCATCATGCGTGCAATCACAACTCTTTGCTTTTGCTCATCAAAAAGTTGAACACATTGCTCACAAACCTTAGTCAAATAGGCCTTTTGGAAGGACACTGATGAAACTATGTGCATTAGTAAGCTTTGTTGCTTCTATAATCTCCTTCTGAAGCACCCTCTTAACCATAAGAATGTTTTCATGGAGGGTTATGCCATTTGGACAGAGCCACGTAGGCCTTGTTCATCCAGGGGCGATGTGACGTTCCTTATTGGTCATGTTTTTGCATAGATAAATCCTTTTATGGATTAATGTGGCCAAAAGAGGCAGCTCTTGTTGGACCAATCCAATATGTTTCCTTAAAGATTTGAGCTTCAATTTCTCGATGTCCTTGCCTCTATAAATTTTATAGCATCATTAACATTAGAAATAACTTGTAGATATTAAGTATGTGTTTTGCAAAAAAGGATTGAATACTACTAGATAATAATATCATAGATATGCAGGTCGGAGTAAACATAAATGAAAATTCTCACCGATAAACTTAATGCTTCAATCAACTTCTACATCCCCAAGACTAAATTTGAGATAACGAAATATTCTTAAGAATAGCAACACCAACAGCGATAAGATAAGATGAAGCAAAATATTTTTAATTGATTAAATAACATGTCGGGTTTTAAAACATAAGTTGTATTGTGCCATTCAATATTTTATCTAAGTGGTTGAGCTTATAATTGAACAACTAGATATATGATTAAGTCGAACTACTTCAGTATTGAATTATTTTGTTAAGTTAGTTGACTTTTAATGGATTGACTTGACTTGACATTTATAGAATGTTTGTGAAGTGTTTGTAAATTGTTTTGTTTTTAAATAGAAGTAGTGTATAAGTGATTAATACTAGTTGGTTTCTTGAAATATGTTGATGAAAAATGATTTGAGTGTTTATAAATATGAGCTAAATATAGGCTTAGTGCAATTATGGTAAAGATTTTTTTTTTCCAGATCATAATTCATGATTTTACAAAATATGTGGATAAAAAGTTGATAATGTTATTTCTTACAGAATGTTTAGACAAAATTATGTCTACTAATTTATAAGCTTAATCAAGCTTTGCCTAACATACTATTAGTTGAACTATATAGAATTATTCCATGATAGCCGTTAAATTTTATTTTTATTTTAAACTAGTAACCAACTTCAATATTTGTTCCAATTTGACCATTATGCATGTCTACGTGATTAAAACTAATGACTCGTTCATATCTCATGAATTGTCTGAAGTTCTCAAAACCAATTCCACTTGTGATTATTTTTCATTTCCACCTCAACGCAAGCAATGAAAAATATACAATAATTTATAGAGGTATGTTTAGAATATCATCTATTGAAGAGTTTTTCCAACCGCATAGATACGAATAATGGGCACAACAG